AAAAAAAAAGCAAAGAAAGGAGGAAAGAGACGAACAGAATGAATCCTCAGAAACATGAGAGTGACGTACAAGTACGTCACATGGCGTATTATAATGCTCGGACAAAAATATTGCTGCTCGACGAGCGTGTCACATTTCACATTGTTTTCTTTTCGGATACTTCGTAATATTGAGCTTAATATATATTATTCAGTGCGGAATCGTTCGATAATCTCGTTCCTGGCAAAATTGTTCACTGCCGTTTCCAACATCGAGAAAGCTCGAATGCTTCGAAGCTCGTCGAAAGCTTTCGAATCTCGAACGCCCTCTTTTTCCTTTTTCTCTCTGCTTTCCTCGAGCACAGCGTCGACACAGTGTGAAAAGCGTCTCAGTTCTCGCTTTCAAGTCTCAAGTAGAAATTCTTCTAATATATCTTAGCTTTATTATTATCAGTAAAATTCCCAAACTATCCGGCGGTTATTTTTTCTATCGTGCGATCGAAGCGACTTTGAGCTTTGAGCTTCTCGATGGATTGTCGGTTTTGATGTTCGAAAGAAGATCGAGCTGACCGAGTTTTTGTCGTTTTAGTCTAGAAAAATCCGTATAAAATAGGAATGTAACACGTGGTTCTTCCCAATGAAGTTGAGATCCTCGTTCGTTTTCTCTTTTTTCTTCTTCTTTTCCTTCTCTACGCGTGTCAAGTAAGCCGCATTTCACAGAAACTGAAGAATCACGTACTAGCGTTATTATAAAATGCTTATCCCTTTTTTCTTTTCTTTCTTTTAATCTTGGCACACCAGTAATTTTTAATTAACCTACAAGTTACAAGACTGGGCAAACTTGATTTTTTCTTGAAGATCCTCGCTTGTCGAACGAGCTTCTCCTTTTTTTGCAGAGCAAAGTATTGGACACGAAAACACAGACACAACAGCAAGAAAAACGGTTTTAAAAAGAAACTTGTCGAATCTGTCAAATCTCGGTGGTTTGCCCATTCTTGTCGCAGATATCAACGTATACTTGGACGGGTTCGAGACGGCACGGTTCTTTCAATTTTCGTCTTAATAAT